TAGCGGTCGACCTTTGGAAACAAGGAGACGCAGACCTCAAAAAGTACGTGTTGCATTGAGAAAGGGCAACAAGAGGTACGTTTCCCTTGGTTTGAAGGGACGAGACTCGAGTTTGCGAGCTGAATCTCGGGTTTCCAGGCCAAGCTGGGGCTCAGAATCCACTCGGCTCCGTGATCCCCGACAGTTGTTTGAGGAGTGGACCTGGTTGCAACGTACCGGTGGGCCGGGTCTCATTGACGGGGTGCAACCCCCGCATTCTGCATTCTGCGCGCCGGGTGCCGGGTGCAATATTGGTGGAAATTGGGCGGCTCAAGGAGGCACAGTCTCCGCATGGCCAGATGAGCCCAAATAACCGGGGAAGCAGTCCTCGCTTGGCGGGTGCCCAGTCCCGAGATCCGGGCTCAAGACGGGCCATATAATACCATAGCATACCTAGCAACAATCATTTTTGCTCACGCCCCCTGCACTGGAAAAGCAGCCCAGCAGAGTAGTCGTCAAGATGCTCCCACTCATCCTCGTCCTCGTCCTCGTCCTCTCCATCTTCCGCCCAACCTCGGCCGACCAAACCACCACCATCGACGCCAAATCCAACCGTGGCACTTGGGAAGGATGGGGCACCTCCCTAGCCTGGTGGGCCGCGGCCTTTGGTCAACGCGACGACCTAGCCGACCTCTTCTTCACCAACAAAACCAACATTCGCTTCGGCTCCACCAACCTGAACCTGAACCTCCCCGGTTTATCATTCAACATAGCCCGCTACAACGCCGGCGCATCCTCCTCCACCCCCGTCAACGGTTCACGAATGGCCGTATCCCCGAAAATGATCCCCTCCCGCCAAATCCAAGGCTACTGGCTCGACTGGGCAAGCGAAGACCCCTCGTCGCAATCCTGGAACTGGAACGTCGACAGCGCACAACGCGCCATGTTGCTCAAGGCCCAATCTCGCGGCGCGGACATTTTGGAACTGTTCTCCAATTCACCCATGTGGTGGATGTGCGTCAACCACAACCCCTCTGGCAACGACGACGGGAAGAAAGACAACTTGCAGAGCTGGAATTATAGACAGCACGCTGTGTATCTGGCCAATGTGGCAAGGCATGCAGAGAGTAACTGGGGGGTGCGGTTCCAGAGCGTCGCGCCGTTTAACGAGCCGAGCGCGAGCTGGTGGCATAGCCAGGGGACGCAGGAGGGGTGTCATTTTGAGGGACCGACCATGCGGGATGTTGTTGGGCATTTGAGGAGGGAACTTGATCGGGGAGGGATGGGCGGGGTGATGGTTTCGGTGGCGGACGAGAGTTATTACGATGAGGCGGTCAAGACGATGAGTTCCCTGGCGGGGGTTATGGGCTCTGTGGGACGGGTGAATGTGCATGGGTACCAGTATGGGGATGGGAGACGGGATGGTTTGTTTGATGCGGTTAGCAAGGCCGGGAAGAGGTTGTGGCAGAGTGAATATGGGGAAGCAGACGCCACGGGGCAGAGGATGGTGAGCAATATGTTGTTGGATTTTCGGTGGTTGAGACCAACGGCTTGGGTGTATTGGCAGGTGCTGGATGGTGGCGGGTGGGGCTTGGTTGAGGCGGACAACGATGCCAAGACGGTCGGGGGACCAAATCAAAAGTACTGGTTGCTCGCGCAGTTTTCGAGGCATATCAGGCCTGGGATGAGGATTTTGGACGGGGGCAGTGATTATACAGTTGCGGCGTACGATGCGGATGCCAGAAAACTGGTGGTGGTTGCGGTGAACTGGGGGGATCAGCAGTATCTCAATTTTGATCTGTCGAGGTTTGGGAACCCGGGAACGAACGGAGCGGTGGTGAAGAGGTGGGCGACGCAGATTGGGAGCGGAGGGATACGGTATGTCGAGTATGCGGATACTACGCTCAGTGGGAATCGGTTTTGGTCGAGGTTTGAGAAGAATATGGTGCAGACGTTTGAGGTGGCAGGGGTCGTTCTGTGAGGACTGTTAGCTGCACAACAGAGACACATCGGTTCAACGCTAAGGCGTCGCTTAGATTGGTGTGTTCGCAGTGAGCCGTCAAACGTCAGCGGTGCCAAGGCTGTTTCTCTTTGCATATTGCATATCACAGAGGGGTTATTAGTTGGGAAGGAACAAGCTGTCCCGCTTCGAAGGCCCGCAAAGGTGGGCTAGGTGTGCCCGCGGAGGGGCGGGCTTCAGCCCTGGCACGATTTTGAAGCTTGACACGCCGGCTTCGGCAAGGGGTTTTCCCGTTTTGGGCTGGTTCCCGGCTAGGCCTTGGGGGTGTCCAGGTGGTTGGACTATTCTCAAGGAGGAGTGGCCCTGAATTTGGGGTGGCAATGTTTGCACTCTTTAACGCCGGTTCATCTTTGCCCTTGACGATTGTTCGCAATGGCTCTGTTTGACGTCTTGTATAACGAGCGATGGCGGGTGTTGGTCGGTGTCTTGGTCGTTTACATTGTGCGCAAGCTCCATGTTTACAATCGACTGAGGCAATTCAAGGGGCCGTGGGGTGTTGGTTTCTTGGAAATTCCGCATAGCAGACGGCTTTTATCACTAACGGCGTGTACTTGGCACCAAGAAATCTGCGAAAAATATGGTCAGTTTTTTTTCTTTCGAGAGAGATGCTGATTGTCCAGGCCCCACTGCCAGAGTCGGCCCCAACTCGCTCATCACCGCCCACCCTGACGTCTGGACACACGTGCACACCAAACCAGGCTACACACGCACAAAGTGGTTCTACCAGGCCGCCCGCTTCGAATACCAAACTCCGCAAAGAGGTCGATGAAGCGGTCAAGAGCGGCAAAGCACCAATCGGCAAAGAGGGCGCCATCACCGCCGCTGCGGTCAAGGGGCTGCCGTATCTGACTGCCGTGATTAGAGAAGGGATTAGAGTCTGGCCGCCTGTGGTCAACTTGTTTCCGCACGATGTGCCTGCGGGCGGTGATACGATTGTGGTAGATGGAAAAGAGTACTTTTTGCCTGGTGGCACCGAGATTGGCGTTTCGGAACAGGGGATGCATCATTCCAAAGAAATCTTTGGGGAGGATGCGCCGGCTTTCCGACCGGAGCGGTGGCTTGAGGAGGGCAAGGACCGGTTGGCGAGGATGGTCAAGACGAGTGATTTGACCTTCGGCCATGGACGGTGGTCCTGTCTTGGAAGGCCGATTGCACAGCTGGAGCTGACAAAGACCATTTTTGAGGTGGGTTTGTTCTGACGGAAACTCTATGGTTGTTTGCTGACATTTGATTGATTAGGTGATTCGGCACTTTGATCTGGCGTCGGTGAATCCCAGCAACCCGTGGAGGACGCAGAGTCCCTTGGGCTTGTTTGTGATCAATGACATGTGGGTTCAGGTGACAGCGAGGGAGTGAGATGGAATCTTGGTGTTGTGGAGGTGTCCCACCCGCTTGTTAGCGAATGGGTCTCAAACGAGGGATAAAAGTGCAAAACTTTGTCCTCCCCACAGCTATTCAGGGGTTCATCCTCTCGAATCACCTCAATTCCCTCGTGGCGCAATTGGCTAGCGCGTCAGACTGTTAATCTGGAGGCTGTAAGTTCGATCCTTACCGAGGGAGTCAGTCGTCTTGGAGCAGGCAGTGCCGAAACTGTTTGTCACTTTTTTTTGCATCCCAACAACAACATTTTTTTTTGGTGGGTGGGGCACTCGCTTTCATTCCGCTGCAGTCTGCCATGCAATGCTTGTCTCCTACCCTTCAACCGCTGCAATTCCTGCCTCATCCTTGGCCAAGGCCGCCTCGTTGAACTCCTCGTCTTCGGTCGGCAGGTCCACGTGAAACTTGGACATCATGGACGCCCGAACTTCAACCTCCCCATCCGACTCAAACGACAGGATATGGCCTCCGCTCTTCCGGTCATCGTTGATGAAATGGAAATGGCCCCCGGCAACATTGATGCCCATGATGTATCCTGGAGCCCTGAACCCCACAATGGTCCCTTGCACGCCCTCAAAGGTGTGCACCGTCTGCCGACCACATACCGCCACCATGCCCTCCCGAGGCGTCAGCTGTCCACCCGCCGTCCGCACGTGGATCTTGTTGAATTTCCCATCTATGCGTATCGCCAAAAAGTGGTTACGTGCAGCGGGAAACAGGCTGGTCAGCAGCGTCCCGAGACCATCCTTGCCGGTGATGGCAGCGTGCGTGCGAATTGTAGGTTGAAACCGAGTCACAGTCGCAAACGGCGTGATGGTGTCCTTTGGCGACGCAACGTATACCACGGTTCCGTCGGCCTTCATCTGGTAGACCTCGCCGTCGACGACAATCATCTCGCCGACCATGTTGCGGAAGGTGCCAAGCCCGAGGTCGCCGTGCGCCAGCACATCCGCAATCGGGATGCCGTGCGACGCAACCCCGTCCATCAGCGCCGAGATGATGGAGAACTGGTATAGCTCGTTGACCTCCATTGTTTGCGTGATGGCTGGCGTTCGAGGAGAGGATGAGAGAGGTGTTGGGCGGGCGTGAGGTTGAGATGCTGACGGCTCGGGTATCGTCGGACTTGTGGCTGCCGACTATCGGCCCGCTCCATTACATGCAAAGAGACACCGGCTCCGTCCCTTCCGGTTGCACGGAAGCAGACGCAACAACAGCGAGAACCGTTTTTACCTGCCACGTTGACAGCCCACATATGTCGTGTCCGCCCGGCATCCGGAAGCAGCGCACCCCCACGCTCCTACAGTCTAACTCGGCAACGACTGCCGAGCCTGCGGAGCCTGCGGAGCCGTTGTTTCCGCCGTGGAGCAACAAGATTTTACCCACAACCCTCGGCCCCACCACAGTGGAACAGCAAAGCCCTCTTCCTCCCTCAACAACCCACACAGCTCCCCTGTCCACGCTTCAAATTCCCCAACAGGGCCGGTCTACAACACCTTACGAGGTCTGATGGTCTAGAGGTATGATTCTCGCTTAGGGTTCACCTACAGCTTCGTTTGCGAGAGGTCCCGGGTTCAATCCCCGGTCAGACCCGTCCAGCGAACAGACACGTTCAACTCCCTTTCTTGGTCTGGTGGTCTAGAATAGTGGTATGATTCTCGCTTAGGGCTCACCCTAGCAGGTTTGCGAGAGGTCCCGGGTTCAATCCCCGGCCAAACCCATTGGATGAGCAGGATGTTCAGGTTCGTTTTTGCCACCTTGTCTGCCTCCTGGGGGTGGGGGTGGGGGTGTGGTATTTTTGTTGCTGACTTTTCCGATATCGGGGTTGCTGTGAGACCGTTATCGATATGATTGCCGTGATGGCCAGCCACGGAACCGTCCTGGAAAGGGCGTCATGTGCTGAGCGGCACATAGTTCCCGGTGCCCGAGGCTTCGAGTTGAAACAGGACGTGCTCAGCTGCGATATGTCCCGGTCAGGTTTATATGAAGTGGAGGAGGCGCCCGCTTACGCTTCAGCTCGATGCCGTGGCGTTGGACGATTATAGTAGAAGGCCAAAAAGCTGACTGCTCCACATCAGAGAACCTCCCCGACACGATCCAAAGTAGGATAGACCTTTTGACACGCAGTAGCATGTTGACATCAATCAAACGGCGAGCGGGGTCCTCCTGAGGTGTGTCTCGCCCGGCCACCCAAGACGCACGAGTGGCAACAGCTGGTAGTCGCCAAAGCCGGCCCGCAAGGCGTGCTCGCTGTCCCCAATGAGTAAGAGGGGTGTCGATCGATCTATGTGAGCTCCGACCGAGATACGAGACGCAGGACTCTCGTGTTCAGATCATAATCCAGCCCTCGTGCAGAATTGACCAGTCACAAAGTCCAACCTCGCTTAAACCGAATGCTGGCTCGCCCACTTGGTCGTGGAAGACATCGCCAGTCTCTCCTCCCCCCCCCCCTTTCTCAGGACCCGAAGATTTACCTCAGAATCTTTGAAAAGCACTTTACTATGTGTGCTCAAGCCTGGGAGGAGATCGCCAAGGTACTGAAGCCGGCTCCGATCGGACACAGGGGATTCGAGCTGAAACATCGTTGTGTTGAGCAATCACATGAGCGGAGGAGGGGCACGATCCTCGAGCTGGGTACTGAAAATCCCCTGATGTCTCCTGATGTCGTGCAGGTGCGTCTGGGCGTAGTTCAGCCGCACTCGAGCTAGCTCGACCGAAAAACACCAACCCTCGGTGGCCTCCATGTCTTTGCCAAACAATGGTGGGGTGTGGTTATGCAGATCATCGAGATGCATCACAGACGATCATGAAATTACTTAAAACCCTACAAGTACGTGTGTGGACGTGCAAGGACTGTAGCCCCCCTGACGCCGACATCTCAAGTTGGTAGGGTCTCATCGAGGATCGAGAAACAGAGACCCCCTGCGTGCCACAGCAGACTGGATCTTGGTTGAAATCTGGTCCTCCGCACGCTTATTTTTGGCGCTCCCGCCACTTTACCGTTTTAATGCGTACCGGTGAAGCTCCGGAGCGAACCCTCCATGCACAGCGAGCCCTCCCCCATGCACAACAAAACCTCGGTGCACAGCGAGACCTCCATGCTGTGAGACATCCATGCACAGCGACACCTCCATGCACAGCGAGACCTCCATGTGGTGAGACCTCCATGCACAGCGAGACAAAAGAGGCTCGTTCGGTGTACGTGTGGAGCAGACAGACAGGTGAGTGGACCCCCCATCAGCACCTATCAACAGTCGGGCGGCAAGTACCAACCCTTCCAATTGGGTGGATTGTCCCACTTGCTTTTTCCTCGCACATCCGCCACCAAGGTTCAAGCAGCAGCAATGTCTGGTTGTCATAAATCAGCAAAAATCGACCAACCAAAGAGAGTGAGCATCCTTCGCTCACGGACTTCCTCCGCGGACGCACCATAAGCATATCTTCGTCATCCTCTGCCGGCATCGTCCCAATTCGTGGACATGCAGGGTCTCCTCCGGGTACGCCATGCGGTTCGCAGTTGGCAAAAGATCGCTTCCCTACTTGTATGCGCATTGGAAATGCGTATCCCTGGGTTTTTCGGGTGTGGTAACCTTGCCCCATCGAACGCCACCCCAAGGGCCTGGGCTAGGCCCGCATCGATCACACAAACTCCCCCCTACGCAGTATGGTTCCTCGACCACCTTTGGGGTGTTCCGGTCAGGTTTTTACGATATCAACAAGCAATCACCTCTGCGCTGCGCAGCGCAGCGGCAAGTTCCTTCCCGAGATTACGACGGGGAAAGAAGGTAGGGCAGGACTAATGCAGGCTGCGAACCGGTCGTGTCGGCCGTTCGGTGATGCACAACCCGCCCCCCTCACTCCACGTTTTCCTCGACATGTTGTTGGTTGGCAGAGCAAAGTTATGACCTTGTCGCCAAACTTCTCCTCTCGAATGCCAGTAGACGAAGACTTCGGGATCGGAACTACGAGCACTACACCAGAGAGCCCTAGCTCTGTCAACCTTGAACAAGATGAGCGGCTTAGCGGACGGACCTGTCGTCGAGTATTACTCGGCCGATAAGCTAGCCGGTGCTGGTGGACAAGATGTCCAACCCCCACAGCTCAACGAAGACGACGTTCCGGCGCAAACGGTAGGCGCCTGGCCCTTCACGAACACAGGAGCAACGGCCTGGGGAGTCACCGGAACTGAATGGTCTTCGTCGACATCAGCGCCTTCGGGGATGTCGACAGCGGCTAGTCCGCCATACGGCATCGTCCCCGAGACCCCGATTGGCCCATACGATCTGACCCCGTACGAGCACCTGACGAATCCCTTCGAAACCCAGTATCAGGTCGAATCGTCGCAGCACAGCACCCTCACCGCGCCCCAATGGCCGGCGGGATACCAAGGCACCGCATCGGTGGGCACATGGCCGCCTGAAATGGTGAGATATTCGTCCAGCTCGTCCCAACCCCCTCGCAACAGGCCGCGAGTAGAAACAGTACCCCGGGGCTAAAGTCCGCTAAAGGTTGCAGATCCCCAGTTCCGGCCGGCGATGGGGTTTAACTCGTCGTTCGATGGTTCGGAGGGAGCGACCCAACAGGAACAAGAACGCGAACCGCCCAAACGCAAGCGAGGACGTCCCCGCTTGGCCTTGAATTTGACCAGAGCCACGACGCCACGGACCTGCGGAGGTCTCGGTAGCCCAGTGAGCAGACGCGTCGAGCGAAGGAAATCCAGCAGCACGTTGTCCGACGACCCCGAAAGAGAAGTGGTCCGATCCCGAAACCGAGCGGCGGCAACACGATACCGAAACAAGATCCAGGCCATCACCGACCAGCTCGAAGCCGAGGAGCGTGAGGCGAGCTTACAGCGCCAATCGCTAATCGCGTGCGCCACTCAGCTTCGTGAAGAAGTGTACCATCTCAAGACGGCGATACTGCAGCACAGCGACTGCCGCGACCCGCTGATCCAAGGATACCTCTCGAACGCGACCCAACAGGCCTATGCGGTACTGGCCACACCAGAGATTACATGGACGGCGGGAAGCAACGGCTACACCGACGTCGATCACGGCAACACCGTCCACGAAGTCCAGACACCGGGGGCAGCCACGTCAGGGGCATCTTCGATTGTTGGCGGGTTGGGCATTGACTGGCAGTTTTGAAGCGACGAACAGATCAAAAGCGAACCTTGTGAAGATATGGGAGATTGTCAACTTGCGGAGTTTGTGATCCGGCTTTGGGTGCGTTTTGGGGGTTAATAATTATCTGGTGAAATGGACATTCATTTCCGTCAATCGCTTTCAAAAGGCCATGCTGAAGACTGCCGCATTTGCAGCTTTGACAAACTATCGCCCTCCGTGCGGACGTGATGACAATGGGTGACATGAGGCAAACCAAAACGCGCATGCGGATCAACGACTAACGAGGGAAGAAGGTCGAGTTGCTTTGTTCTCCCATTCGTCGAGCCATGACGGACGTTGCCTTGGTTTATGCACGGGGAAATCCGTAGCAGGAACCCCGTAGCATGACGCAAGGTGTGGAACGATCCGAACTCCAAGGGCAATCAGGTGGCCGAGTCGCAAACTCTAAAATCTACCGCGGCGTGGCGGGTGCTCTGTACTCCCCCATTGCCCCCAGTCTCCGCCAATGGGACACGATGCCCGTGCACGTCACGACGGCTCGAGGGATCCTGGCTGCACGTCAGACATCTAACACGATACCAGATATCACTGCTCTCTGTCTTGGCGGCATGGCGGAACTATAATACGGGCATTATTGGTGGTGATCGCATTTGGAGATGGGTTGACTTGTGTCACCGACGGAAAAGAGGGACATTCCCCGACGTGGGGGAATTGGTGGGGCTCCATCGGATTTTTTGGAATCGGCCATGTCCCACTCCCTGTTTGCCATCTAGGAGCAAATGCTCCGAGGATCCTCACACCCCACGACACACACCAGCGCAACCTCGTTTTTTGACCTGCGAATCTGACGAAGGGCAATGCCACAACGTGAATGAGTTTGATGAAAATGAGTTTTGATACAATCACACCGTTTAGCTAGGCTGAAGGGCCTGGCCAGACATGCAGGATGGCATGTCGCAGAGCGGCCGGTTCTCGAGTTCGGCTATCTCGCAGCTTGCCTGCTGACATCAAGTCGAGGAACCAAGGTGGAAACATCAACTCCTACTCCCGCATCCTGGGGAGATAAACCTCCTCGATCCTGGTCCGCATCACCCTCTCCGCCGAAGCCGGATCCATCCGCTGCTCGGGACCCGTCCGCATCATCTTGCCCACAAAGAACATGAGTTTGCCCTGGGGGTATACCTTGGCCTTGCCGTCTGCAAACTTGAGAAACTCGCCCATGACTTTATCCTCACCCTGGACGACTTCGTCGGCGATCTCGGCGTATTCGTGCTCCGAGAGCTCTTCGAACCAGAGACCTTCTTGGTCGATTGCCTCGACGATGCCGCCCGGGCCGATATCCCCCCGAAAAACGGCGAAGAGGACCTCCTTGGCGACTCTGGCGGTGATCTCCTTACGGGATAGGTGATAGAGGAGGGTAGCCAGGTCAGCGGACGCGACTTTGCACTCGCCGTCGGGTGTCATCCCGAGGTCGCTGGACAGCTCGGTGAGCTTCCCGAGCTCGTGAAGACACCAGTTGGCAGCGAGGAGTGACAGGGACTGGTCCGTTTGGTCACGCAGGGACCCTGTCTCTGCGAGCCGTTGCTCAAGCTTG